GTTAACAACTTCCTTCTCCACAGAATTATTGCATGTTGGTGAGAAGGTAGAGATGAAGCTTTTGGAGCTTAGGTTAGTGCATCTTCCATTCAAGTCGACTTTCTTTCTTTCTTTTACTATGCACAAGTATATTGTGTCAAGCACGCATCGCGTGCACTAGAATACTAGTTATGAACTAAAGAAAACCAAGAGGAATATAATCAGAAGTTAATTTTAAGGGGGAAAATGTTCTCAATGTCTAGAATAAAACATTTAACTTCCAGGATCCTTTAACCTAACTGCCAGCTTGGTACTATGTGCTGAGTCTGCTGACAGTGTTTCTAGATCCAAGCTTAGGCATTAATTGCTAGTCTGAAATTGTCACTCTGTCCTGTTACCTAAAAGCTTCCAGTTGCAAACCAATGACGATGTAGCAACAATCTCAGACTTTAATGTTACTCCCTGCTAAACTTCATGGTTCTCCTCCAAACCATGCATTTGGTATTCAGATGCCATGTACTGTATAGTGTGGCTTATGCAGAGATGAAATATACATAAGATGCAAAAACTGAGACCAGACCCACTTGCACAGTTGCCATTACTTTCTCAAGCATTTTGGCAAAAGTCCAAATTAGCTCCAAGGTCCTACCAGTGGCTAGTTTAATCTTGTACAGCAGGGGAAGCCTTTTTAAGCATTTCAAGAAAAAGAAACAATTTTGGCAGAATAGGAGAAGACTGACAACCAGCAATAATTCTGACATAACATGATTTCATATATCCATTGTTGATATCAAATTTTCTGTAGCTGGATTTACGAGAGACGTTTGTATGTACTCATATGAGGGATTAAGGAACTAAACCATGTACTACCACAAGCATATAAAAAATAGACAGCACAACTTAATCTACAAGATGTTGCAAATCAGTGTCATCAGATTTGAGCTATTGTGATTTTCCAGTAAAATGACAGAAAAGGCATCCAATCTATGTTGCAAACCTGATTACATTGAGATAGAACAAAATAGTTTGATTCATAACACATAAATAGGGAAATGATGAAAGGCAACTGATCAACTGAAATGTTTCATCTATTCATACAGAACTACATAAATACAACTTCTGCAAAGCAATACCACAAAAGTGCACTATACGTACCAACAATATTTTAGGCATACAAAGACTTGAACAGTATTTACCTAGACAAGCTCAATGTAGGCCATCGGTGCATTGTCGCCACGCCTAGGTAGAGTTCTGATAATACGAGTATAGCCTCCATTTCTCTCGCCATATCTATCTTCGACCTCTGCAAACAAAGCATGGACTATCTGCTTCTCGTAGATGAATCCCAATGCTTGCCTCCTCTTGTGAAGAGACCCATCCTTGGCCAATGTTATCATTTTATCAACATATTTCCTTACTGCGCTTGCCCTTGCTCTAGTAGTCTTAATCCTACCATGTTTCAATAATTGTGTTGTGAGACCACGAAGTAATGCTTTTCTTTGATCCGGGGGCCTGTTAAGTTTTGGGACTCGTCTGCCATGTCTCATTGCATAGAATTTGCTCCCATTGTTAATGGACAAAAAATTCTGCTCATAGCCAGTACTGTCTGCAGCATTATTGGAAGGATAAATAGTCACTCAATCAGGATCCTCAATATAACAAAAAACTGACAATATGTCAAATTCAAATTACAAAATATGAATTGAAATAGAAATCGTATACTTGACATCTTGATGGACTTTACAACCATATCCTCTAGTCATCATTAATAAATAGAAAAAGAATTTTCATTATGCAAATAAGCTTACAGTTGGAGCATTTTCATTATGCATTAATAGAACCTAAACAAGAGAAACAAAGTCTCAATTCTTAAAGCAGTAAAAGTTCAACAGAATACTAAAGAATGAAATAAATAACTTAATAACCAAATACATAGTGACACTTGGACAAATCAAGACACAATGAGTCATAAGTAAATATCTGAGAATATTCTGTACAGAAGATTTTATGTCTATAGTAAAATAATGTTGATGCACAGTAAAGTAGGAAGCCTAAAATACTTTGAAATATGAGATTTGGGTTTAGACAAGTCTTGACTAAACATAATCCTTACTTTTAGTAACTCAAGAAATAAGGTCCAAACTCATGTGCTTGGATCAAACGGATGTTTTCAGGCTTTAAGGTGATCAAAGCAGGCAAAAGAGGACCAGCATAGTGATGTACTCTAATGTCAACAAGCTGAAGAAAGAGGATCCATTTTGAAAAATGGACTAGATGAATAATAAACATAATGAAAGCATTCACATTAAAAATAATATGAGGTTAACTTTCACATATATGAAAGCCCATGACAAGTTTCACCCTCAAGATGCCCAAGATTGTTTTTTTTCCTCTTTTCTTTTTCTAATTAGATGAAATTTCTCCAGAATGCAACCAGTCATTGATGTCGTTTGTGAGTACTATGAACGAGATGTCAAGATATATTAGGTTTGAGGTGTCGGATCTAATTGCACCCGAATCAAAGTAATTAATTAAAAAAAAACTTACGCACACCACAGCAGTCTTGACTAAACATAATCCTAACTTTTAGTAACTCAAGAAATAAGGTCCAAACTCATGTGCTTGGATCAAACGGATGTTTTCAGGCTTTAAGGTGATCAAAGCAGGCAAAAGAGGACCAGCATAGTGATGTACTCTAATGTCAACAAGCTGAAGAAAGAGGATCCATTTTGAAAAATGGACTAGATGAATAATAAACATAATGAAAGCATTCACATTAAAAATAATATGAGGTTAACTTTCACATATATGAAAGCCCATGACAAGTTTCACCCTCAAGATGCCCAAGATTGTTTTTTTTCCTCTTTTCTTTTTCTAATTAGATGAAATTTCTCCAGAATGCAACCAGTCATTGATGTCGTTTGTGAGTACTATGAACGAGATGTCAAGATATATTAGGTTTGAGGTGTCGGATCTAATTGCACCCGAATCAAAGTAATCAATTAAAAAAAACTTACGCACACCACAGCAGTGCAGGTTAAGATTCAGCAAATGCGATCAATGTACCCACCAAAATTCAAAAGTGATGGGCCATGGATTATGTTATACTAGTACCAATTGTTTATAGGGAGCCCCCTGCCTCGTTCCTAAGTTCCACAGTTCATTTCATCCAACTCAGCTTTTCAGTCAACAATGTCGTTGAAAGGGAGAGAGTGGGCTTATGCTTTAACAATTCGCCATTGCCTTAGGGGGAAAGAAAAAACTTAATCTTAACAAAAATAGCCTGCATTCGCAGCAAATACGAGTAGAATCTCAGCCTTATTAACGTAAACTAGAAAGAGAGATGAAATTTTAGAGGAACTGACCGGAACTGAGAAAAGGGGCGACGGGAGCTAGGCCGGAGAAGGATCGCAGGGCCTTGATCCCTCCGCCGCCTGTCCTCAGCTTTGGGGAGGAGAAGTGGACGCGAGCAGCGGGGAGCGGGGGGAGGGCGGAGCGGAGGGAGGCCATGCTGAATGGAGGCAAGGAAACCACCGTCGAGGATGAAGAATAAGAAGCCGCCATGGCCATTGTTGGAGCGAGAGAGAGAGGGGAGGAGGAAGCTCGGGGTTTTCGCTCTAACCCGGCCTTTTCCCTTTTGGCTAAGGATGTGCCATCATCCTTTCCTCATCCCATCTTTAAGGGGCGCTTGTATGCCTTTTTACAAATTTGCCCTCACAAATACTCTACTCTCTCTTGGAATGGCTTGGGAAGTTTTAGATACCAGTACAGTGTACATCGTTTTATTTAGATGCACTTGTTTTATATTCTGAATTTGTCACCATGACGTGAAAAAAGAGAGAATAAATACATACTAGCATTATTGCAAGTTCAAATACATGTACCGTAGATCTTAAACTTATTTTTTCTAAATTTCATATAAAAAGAACGAATTATTTTTTAGGGAAAAATGCTTCCAGCCCCCAAAACACAAGAAAACGTGATCCCCCCTCCCCCCGAAGACTTTTTTAACGAGTGCTTTGCCCCCAAAATGATCGGCGATTTTCTTCCAGCCCCCAAAACGAATCCCCAGGCGTAACTCCGTTTAAACTCCTCACGAAATATCCAAAATACCCCTATACAGCCTGTAACTGTCACCCTCTCACGTCGGAAATATGGCGTTTCGACTATAAGCATTAAATGGTGATTAGAGTGTCGTTTGGGGGTCTCATTCCCCTCCAAAATTATCACCAGATATATTCTCCTTCCCGCCGTAATAAATTCGCTGAGTTCCTCCACATTCTATTACCCCAACTAATCTGTTCCTTCCACTTAATTCTCCTCAATAAAAGCCTCTTCGATTCTTCAACTACTCCCTGTAATAAAATGACGGATGGATCTCTTCTATGCGTGGTAACGAAGGCAAAAAGCAACAAAGATGGTGACGGTGTATTCGTCGTTATCAAAGAGAATACATAAATAATCAGCTTGAAATATCAAGTGTCGGAAAGACTTAAAATACCAATGCAATCTCTTTCGCTGAAGTTCATATGCGAAAGGGAAAAGAAATTCAGTATTTCAATTGATAATGACGATGACTTAAATTTGATGTTCGAGTATTATCGGCGTAATGGATTTACAAACGCGAATTTGTATGCTACCTCTGCTGGGGAATCCTCAACTTCGCAGAACATGCAGACTACGTCGAAAAATACGTAGGAATTACACTCCAGATTTTCTTATGAGTTCAGTAATAGGTTTTTCCATTAGTTTTTAACCTTATGCATTGATTGCTTAGGTAATGAGTTGGTTGTCAATATTAGGTTAAGTACTGGTTGTTAAGGTTATTTGTTCGTTGTTACGTATACTAGTTGGTTGCTATGATAAGGTGTTTGATGTTAAGTATATGCGTTTGTTGTTAAGATCACGAGTCTGTCCTTAAGTATAAGGGTTAGTTGTTAAGGATATGTGTTAGCTGTTACGTTTATGAGTTAGTTGTTAAAGTTATCAGTTCGTTGCAGCGGCTATGTATTTTTATTACTACTTTAGAATAATACCGATAGAAAATTCACGGTACGCAGATATCACGTTCACCCAAACCTGTAAGATGAGCGTATTCCTAATGACAACCCCACCGATGACTCGATCATGCTGCTGGAAGACATGCTTAACCACCAAACAAAGATCCCAACTGAGTAACACACCTCCATACGTGAAGTTGGTCAGAAATTTGATAGTGTTGCTGAAGTTAGATTAGCACTTTAATACTATTCAATTTCTAAACGGTTCGAGTATGATTTTTACCACAATGAACAAAGGCGCATAAGAGTCTATTGCCGATTCAAGCACACACATGGTTGCCCTTGGATGTTGTTTGCTTCCCCGCTCAGAAATCCGTCTACCATGTCCATAAAGAATTTCGAATCTACCCACACCTGCGGTCAACATAGAGCAAATACTGGCAACTCAAGGACATCAAGGAAGTTCATTGCTAGCCAAATACAAGCTGTTTTGAAGGTTAGGCTAGATCTTCGTGAAGTTAATATCAAGAACGACATTCTCTCTAATTTTAGCATCAAGATTAACTACAGTAAAGCGTGGTGGGGGCAAGGAGACAACTCAACAGGACCTGTTCGGTGACGATGATGAGGCTTACGATTCATTGAGATGATACGTTCTTTTTTATTCTTTTGAAATCACTCTTACATTTTGGTTGCTAACTATACGTATTAGTTATTAAAGTTGTTGGTTCATCGTTAAGTATACGTGCTGGTTGTTATGTTTGAAGATCAGTTGTTATGGTTATGAATCCGTTGCTAAATTTGTTGTTATATTCATGCAGGTATGAATCCATGGTGCATGCAACTAATCCAGGGAGTCATGTTGTTATTGATGTTGATGACGGGAGGTTCAGGTGATTGTTCATTAGTTATAATATCTGTATTGAAGGGTTCATTGCTGGGTGCAGGCCTCTATTGTTTTTAGATAGAATATTTATTAAAAATCGCTACAGAAGCATACTACTTAGTGCCACTGGGTATGACGACAACCAGAGAATATTTCTCATTGCTTATTGCATATGCGACCAGGAGAATGAGGTTAATTGGAAATGGTTCTTACAAGGATTATGGACGTTACTGTATGATAGGGAAAATCCTTACCAACCTCCACATCGGCTGGTAATAATTTTCGACGCCAACAAGGGTATTAGGGCAGCAGTTAAGGAATTCTTTTCAGATGCATTCCATTCAAGGTGTGTTCTGCATCTAGTCAAGAATTTCAAAAAGAAGATGAAGGATTTTGGGCACAAGACAAATGTCGCTACTACGTTGGGCAAGCTGTTACAATCTGCGGCTTATAAGTTCACAATTTCTGAATGGGATGATGATATGAAAGAATTAGCAGTGATCGATCATAGGGCTTACGTCACTCCAATGGAATACTCCCCTAAGACATTGGCAAACACACATTTTCCTGATATAAGGTAAGATAGCTTGGTTTTAACGTTATTTTGTTACAACACCGTTATAGTTATTTAGGTTAGAGTTAGCCTACAGTTTTCTGTTAAGGTTAGATTTTATTGTTATGGTTAGAATTATTCTGCTAGGGTTTTGTTGTTAAGTTTAGAATTTTTTTATTTAGGTTAGGACTTTAATGTTTAGGTTATGGTTTTATTGTTAATATTAGTGTTTTGTTGTTAAGGTATGGTCATGTTACTTTAAACGTTGCTGAGTCTTTCAATAGCTGGATAAGAAATGTACGATTATTACGAATCTTACCTTTGGTTGAGACCATACGGAAGCAAATAATGGAGCGCATGCACGAAAGGAGGCTAGTGGGTCAGAAATAGTCTCGATACTTATGCCCAGAAGCGAAGATGGTGTTGTGCGATAATATTCAGCATGATAGCTGCTTAGCGATTAAACATTCGACGGAAGATATTATGGAGGTCGAGTCCAATAAAACTTGCAGTGTAGATTTGAAGAATCGGGCATGTTCTTGCAGATCCCGGGACATCACCCGCATTCCTTACAAACATGCGTGCGCTGCAATTACATGGATGAGACGAGAAATTTATCAATATTATGATTGCTACATGATTGTTGACGCATTCAGAGCAAGTTATGCACCGATCATCTTTCTCATCCTAGATTACAAGAAGTGCTTTGTACCACCAGAAGAGCGAGTGTTAAAGCCTCATCTCACCAAAAAAAGACATGGTAGACCATGCACTAGACGAATAAATAACAAGTCGCTGAACACCTATCCTGTTAAGTGCTCTCGATGCAATGTGAAGGGTCACAATCGTGCAACCTATAACGAGCCTATATAGTTTAGCATTTTATTGTCATGTATATAGATTTGTTGTCTTGTATATCATTGCAAGTGATAAGGTCATGGCTTGGCTGTTAGTATTACTATTTGGTTGTTAAGTTTATAACTTGTTTGTTGAAGTTTTGACTTGGTTGTCAAGTTTGTCGATTGAATGTTAAGTTTACTATTATCCACTTGCACTTAGTTGTCAGTGTCACCGATTGTTAAAGCCTCCTCTCATCAAAAAAATACTGGGAAGACCATATACTAGACAAGTTTGTTTTGTTAAAAATAGGTCGCTGGACACCCATCCTATTAAGTGCTCTCGACACAACATAGAGGGTCACAATCGTCAAAATTACGTACAAACCTATATAGTTTAGCATTTTTATTATTAAGTCTATGGAGTGGTTGATAAGAATACTGTTTGGCTATCATGTTTACAGAATTTTGTCAAGGATATCGTTAAAATTGTTTAGTTTATTACTTGTTTGTTAACGTTATTACTTGGTTGTCAAGTTTACCACTTTAATGTTAAGGTTACTATTATTCACTTGCACTTGGCTGTCAAGGTTATCGAGATATTTTTGATTTGACTGCTTTCAATGTATTTCATAGTTCCCAAGGTAGTAGAGTTATCTCACCATCCCTCGGCTTGTTCTAATACAGAACCAGCCTATAACCTTTCTCCTCATATTTACATCTTCTTTATCTTCCCATCACCGTCACTCTATTTATCCTCACTCTTTTCTCGATCATTCTAAGCTCTCCCCTCTCCAATCTCATAAACCATAAGATCACGACTAGCCCTCACGCTGATAAAGACATCTTCAGTATTTATGGGTTCTGACCATATAATAGCATCAACCTTTTTTGAACATTATTACCCTTATCTATTCCCCATTATCATTTTCTCTAAGTTCCATCAGGTGAGCGTGAATATAAATAGCTTTCTCCAAAGAGCTTCCTGTGAACTTACCAGGCTGCTGGAAAGCTCTTTGGTGAAAGCCATTTGTGTTCAGGCACAACTGATGGAACTTAGAGAAATGACAGTGGGGAATAGCTAACGTTATTAGCATTCAAATGGTTGATGCATTATACAGTCAGATCCAAGAAATCTCCGTTGTAATAGTGAAGTCACTTGGGCAGGCAGGCTTATGGGTTTACTATTGATGTTAGGGCATTGTTGTTATGCTTATGGGTTTATTGTTAACCTTAACGTTGTATAGTAAAAAGCTTATGGATTGGTTGTCAAGTTACTGATTGCATGTCAAGGTTAGCGCTAGGTTGTTATTTCACATTTCATTGACAAGGTTATGTCTTGGATTGTTTGTTAAGGTTAGCACCGGGTTGTTAATTCACGCTAATTAACGTTAATATAGTTTAGTGTGCAACTTGTAACGAGTCTATATAGTTTAGCATTTTATTATCATGTATATGGATTTGTTGTCAAGTATATCGTTATAAGTGTTAAGGTCATGGTTGGGCTGTTAAGGTTACTATTTGGTTGTTAGGTTTATCGATTGAATGTTATGTTTATTGTTATTCACTTGCGCTTGGTTGTCACGATCACCGAGATATATTTTCTGCTACTGTATTCAATGTATTTCCTAGTTCCCAAGGAGGAGAGTTAAAGATAACATGGACTCCTACCTATCCTTGCATCCCACGCGGCAACATCACCATCCCTTCACCTGTTCAACTACAGGATAGGTATGATAACCTTTCAGCACAATCTTTCCTCGATCTCCTCATCGCCGACTCTCTGTTGACCCTCCCTCTTTTATATGTAAATCCTAAGCTTTTCCCTCTCCCCAGAACCTTCAAGTTCTTCTATCGCCATTAACCAGAAGATCAATGCTAGCCCTCACGCCGATGAAGGTCATGGCGACAAGGACGCATGCTGATGAAGATCTTGGATATCCTTCACACTGATGAAGACGTTATCCCCATTGTCTTTGCTCTTAGTTTCATGAGTTGTGGGTGAATATATGTAGCTTTCTCTAAAGAGTTTGTACATTAACGCCCAGTTATGATTCAAAAGTGCAGTGAATACAATCAATTCAGATGGGTCATGCGTGAATCACATAGGAAGGCAGGCATATGCTGGTGGAGAAAGTCCTCTGGCTTACGTTAAAAATTTATAGCTACACAGTGTTAACGAAGCCAGAGGACTATCTCCACCAGCATATGCCTGCCTTCCCATGTGATTCACGTATTGATCCATCTGAATTATTGTATTCCATGCACTTATGAATTTTAATTGTCTTGTTATTGTACAAACTCATTGAAGGGAGCCAGTTATATTCACCCATGTTTATGGAACTTAGAGCAGAGACAATGGTTATACATGCAGTTGTCATCGTGTTGTTGAGCTTAGAGACTTGTTGTTTAGTTTACGGGGTTGTTGATAAGCTTATTTGTTTGTTGTTAAGGTTGTAGTGTAACGCCCCTCCTCTGGAAGGTACATAAAAATTTGAGCATGACCTATCTATAATAAGAAGGGTCGACCTGCTAAATCTTTATGCACATCATAACATAGATATACTAAAGGGCGAAAAATAAAGCAGTGGAGATGCATATGCAATACCCAAGATCACGAGGTTGACAGCAGAGTCCACAGTGGAGATGCATATGCAATACCCAAGATCACGAGGTTGACAGCAGAGTCCATAGAATACCAAAATAGAAGAGAACTAAAGGGTAATACAAAATATTACAATAATAGCAGTGGCTACAACATTAATACATCTTTTATAAGTCAAAGGTACTACAAAAGTGAACATAAATTAATCCCTATTAAGATTTTCCTCTGGAGCTAATCTTCAAATTCAGGGTCTGTAATGCCCTTATCCTTGCCAGTTGTATGACCTGCAAGTGGATTCAGAAATAATGGGGGTGATCCTAAGGCCCAATAGGTAACCATGAAAATCTCGGGTACAATCCAAGAGAACGAATGAAAATGATAGACATAGATATCAAACTTGAACAACAGGGTCTCAACATTAAGTTGCCATTCTTATATCGTGATCATTGACTGAAGTGAAATAACATGTAAAGATGAATAATCAAGGTCTAATATTCAGGATTCCAAAATCCCCAATCATGGGATAATCAATAAACCGCGCATGCCTTTATACACCCACCAGTGAGCGTCCTCACACAGGGCATTGTCCCACCGGGACACTATAACATTACCACCCATCGGTGAAGCTTACTTCACACAGGGCATAATCTATGAATATAGACAATCAATCATCAACGAAGAGAGGAATACTATCATTATCAATAGTTAAACCATCGAATCAATTTGAATTGTTGCAATGAAATCATTCAAGGATATCGAAGGTATAAAACTGAAATAAACAACATTAGGATAGCAATGATTAATTAATCAACAACGAGCCCATGCATGAGGTGAATCAAATAGGAATATTATGAAAATGATAAGATATACAATTAGCATGGGAAACTAACTTGCAGAAACTTCAAGAAAGTAATCAATCGAACTCTCAATGACTTGAGAGGAAATAATGAAAGGTTACCTACCGATTATGCCAGGATCCTCTCGGCCAACGAATGAATCCAAGATTCTCTGTCCTATATATACATGTATACCCACATGAGATTCTAGACACTATGTCTTTTAAAACTTTAAATTAAAACTTATATCATGGTATAAGCTACACCTTAGATGATTGCATCTAATATCTCTAATATGCACAACAACCCAAGTAGTGTACATGCAGCAGATTTAGGTGAATAGATGATATAACAATTAATGTCCAAAATGCATGAAACTACTCCCAAATGACTCCATTATGAGGTTAATTTTAGAATATAAAACTTTTACATCAATGCATGGTGTATAGTAAGAGTTATGCTCTCAGCAAACTACACATATCAAAACTGTAGCAGAAAAACATAGGTTATTATCTGAAATGAATAATTCACTTCGGGTACTTAACACTATACAAATGAGCTCATATTTGGTATATAAGTGATATGATGGGTTAGATTCCAAGTCCAATTAGTTTCATCAAACTTTCAGTTTTATAATGCATGTTACATGCAAAACAACACAAGGGGGTAGACTGGAATTGCCAGTACATATACTAGGTATTAGAACTAGGTTTAGACTTACCAAACGTTAATCAAATTAATTAAAACTTTCATCAACATAAAGACAATTGAGTCTAGTTTTAGGAATAGAAATAATTTTATGCATGCATTGCATATGTTGAGATATATGCTCTTTACAAAGGATATAACTTAGGCAGACAGTTTTAGACACATGCACTAAGTTAAACTATATTTTCAAACAAGTAAATGATCTCAGAATTAAAGAAATAAGGTCTTAAATGAAATCCACGAAAGTGTAGTTTCTATAACAGAAAGAATTTTATACATGCATGGTATATGTTGAGATATATGCTCTTTACAAAGGATATAACTCATGCAGACAGTTTCAGACACATGCACTGAGTTAAACCATACTTTCAAACTAGTAAATGATTTTAGAATTAAACAAAAAGG